CATAGCAGAATAGACTCTGATTAACCAAATATGCACTGAAAAGTACTTGGTAAACATTTCCGCTCCCCCTTTCCCCAATCCTTTTCAAGTTCCCATTATGGCCTAAAGTCAGAGTTCTCTTTACAGCATTTATACTTTTTCTCTTCCCTGCGCACACAGCCCGAGTTCTCTTACCTACGCATGCCTAAGGATAGGTGTCTGTAAATGTGACAGAGGGAGACCTTTGTTTTCAAAGTCGTCTTCAGGCTGTCTCTGCATCTTTCTGCTCCCAGATCCCTGACTGGCAAGTCAGGGACTGAACAGCATCTGTAGCAACGGACCTCTCTATTCACTGGCGTTGCCTTGTCAGTTACACGGCCTAGCAGGAAGAAGAGAGTGTCTCCTCTGTGTTCTAAAACGACGTATTGTTCCATCCTGTTTTATTTCACCTTATCTAAGAAATAGATGAAAGTATTATTTTTAAAATTATGAAACAGAACATATGTATGGGAGCATATATAAGGTATGTGTACAGTTTCAAGAATAACCGAGAATGCCCGCGCATCCACCTCTCAGCTCAAGAAAGAGTGTGACCGTTGAAGGCCTCCCGGTCATGAATGAATTCTTGTTTTTTAAACATGGCAGCATCCAGAAGAAAACACAAAAGCCTCCTTTATTGCCCTCTTTCTTCTCCAAGGTTATTGTTGTTAATGTTTCAAATATGTGCTTTCAGAATTTGATCTTCAGAATTGTTTGGTTTTATTTAAACAGGAAGTATGCACATTCAAAATGGGCTCAAAAGCAGAGTAACCTAGAGGGCTAAGCGCACCCTCTTCCCAACAGCCTTGTCAGCCTCCCTCATTGTGATCACTTGAATGCCGAGCATTCTCCGGGGCCATCCGCACCCACGCAGCCTAAACGCATGCCCCCCAGCACATGCCTGTGCGCACGGCTGCCAGTCGGCCTGTGTAGTTCTGTCCTGGGTCCCACTGTATGGATGTACCATAGTTGCTTTAACTAGCACTCAGTTGATGAGCTAGTTAATCGTGTCACCTACATCCAGTCATTCCAGTTCATCACAGCGAAAAGGTGTCTAATTTTTCCTGTCAGTCTAATTATCTTTCCTTAATAGGTAATGTCTTTTTCTCTCAGGCTGCTTTTAGGACCTCTTTGTCTTTGTGTTCTCCCATTTTTCTAATTATACTCTTAGGTATGTCTTTTGTATTTGATCATGTGCATGAGTCGGCATGCATGTCTTTCATCAGTTCCGGGAAACACCAGCTGGTAACTGTCCTTCCGGAACTTGGGGCGTATGCTGCACCACCCCTTCTGTCCCTCATGTCTCTTATCACAGTTTTCATATTCATCTCTTTGTGCTCCATTCTTGGTAATTTCTTCAGATTTTTCTTCTAATTCACCCATTCTCTGATCTGCTTCCAGCCTATCTCCCGAATTTAATCTCAGAGACTATACTTTCATGCTTTTGTATTGAAAGCAGGAGTCTCCATACTCTGTGCTCCCTGCCTTGGGTGGCCCTTCAATGTGTTTGATGAAACCACGGAGCTGAGCCTGGCGCTTGCCAGCAGGCTCCCCCACCACCCGGGCAACTGAAGTTGCAGCTCACCTTCTCCTATCTGGTTTTCAGCTCAGGTCCTGGGCAAGTCACTACGTGAGCTCAGCAGTACCCTTAAAAGGATTTTATCCAGCATTTTTAAGCGTTTTGCAGTGGAACCGTCAACATGTTGTCTGAAACAGAAGCCTCTTTTGCAACTAAGGTCAGTGCTTTGGTGACTGGCCTTGCGTGTATGTGGACACTTGTGTAGCTACCTCCTTGAAGCGGAATTGCCAGCTCAGAAGTGAGATGCATGTGGTGTTTGGTTGGATATTGCCAAGTCACTCCCCAAAGAAGGATTTGTGCTCGCCTCAGCTGTCTAGGAGTACCTACCTGTCCACGACTCCCTGCCACACAGTGCCTCGTAGGGCGTTACCACACTTCACCTTTGCTGGGGAGATCGGTGACAAAGTGGCATTGCATTGTAGTTTTACTGTGTAATTTATCTTATTACCAGTAAACTTAAACATCTTACACGTGTTGAAAAGCCATTAGTATTTTTCTGTGAATTGCTTTTTCTTATCTTTTCTCTCGATTTAATAATGGGTTGTCAGTCTTTACTGATTTGAAGGCATTTATTATAAGACATTAGCCCTTTTTGTTGCAAACATTTTCCTCAGTTTATCATTGGACTGACTTTCTGATTTTTCCCTGCCCCCACAGGAAAAAGTTAAACCCTTTTTTCACCTTCTGTACTTTGTTTCGAAAGGCTGTCCTCCTTTGAATATTTTTATAGTTTAATTATGTTTAACTCTTTGCACCCTCTATAATTTGTATAATATATGTGGTAGAGCTCCAAGCTGAGAAAACTACTATAGAGTATTTTGCCTCTAACTGTTGTTACAAATGGGACATTTTCTTTGATTCTATTTTTTAAACTAGATTTTAGCATATAAATTTATCTTTGACTCTGTGTTACTGAATTCTCTGGGACTGTCCCTTCTCACTAATGAGAAGTCTACCCACTTCTTTCCAATTTTTTTACTTTTCGTTTTTTCCTTTTGTCTAATTGTGTCTAGTTTTTAAAAAGCGATGTGAAATAATGGTGGTGGGCAGTGCCTCACTGCCACATCTGGGATGGGTGTGACGTTTCATCCCATTTCTTTCGGCCTCCGTGGACATGACCAGGTGGTTTTTTTGTTGATTCCCTTGTCTGTGGCATCTTGCTGTGGAGTCTGTTCTTGATATTTCAGTCGGATATGTAGTTTTCTTCGATCGTGCTCTCAGCTTTAGGCTTTGGTAATAGAGTGCTGGCTTCATGGAGAATTTGGGAGCTTTCCTCCTTTTCCTAGGCTGTGGAACAGTTAACGTAGCCCTGGAGGCAGCTGGTCCTTACAGGTCTGGCCAAAGTGACTTGTTTTTTTTTTTTTTTGTAGGGACGGTTGCCCCTTGCTGGCTTCCTCAGGCTGCTATTTGTTATTTTATCTACTTGGATTTTCTGTCTCCTGGGGATTCGTTTTGATAATTCTTATTTTCCCAGAAAGCCATACTCATCTAAGTTTTCAGATTTGGAAATTTTAAAAATTCAAGAAATAGAAATAGATTATTTCTGAATAGATTATAGTGACTGAAGAAACAATTAAAAACCAAAAAACCAAAAACAGGCCGGGTGCAGAGGCACACGCCTGTAATCCCGGCACTTTAGGAGGCTGAGTGGGTGGATCCCTTGAGCCCAGGAGTTCGAGACCAGCCTGAGCAACATGGCAAAACCATCTCTAGTGAAAATAAAGAAAATTAGCCTGGTGTGGTGGCACGTGCGTGTAGTCCCAGCTACTCGGGAGGCTGAGGTGAGAGGATCGCCTGAGCCCAGGAAGTTGAGGCTGCAGTGCCACTACACTCCAGCCTGGGCAACGGGAGTGAGACCCTGTCTTTAAAAAACTAATAAAAAACAAAACCTAGAAAAAGACAAAACCTAGAAAAAAACAAAACCTAGAAAAAGACAAAACCTAGAAAAAGACACGTGATCCATGGAGTTTTGTTTGTCCAGGTCTGGCCAAACACTGAGTAAACCGCCCCTTCACTGTTCTAAGTGTTCTCAGCAAATGCTTTCGCCTTGAAATCTGCCTTTTCTAGTATTAAATTGTAACATTTTTTCTTCCTCATTTGCAGATGTGTTTTTCATGCATAGCATATATTTTTACTTTGTGATCCATTGGCAGCTCTTCTTGTTAATAGGAAGGTTTGTCCTGTGTGCCGCCATGGATCCAGCAGACACATCAGGTCCCACTTAAGCCATCTGTCTTCTTGTTCTGGTATTTTGCTATGCCACTTTCTTTCAGAGAGTATCCACAGGTAGTTCACTTTGAGTCCTTTTCTGTTAAAGAAAAAAAGGTCTATTATGCCTTCAAACTTGGGAGCTAAGCTAGGTAGAGAATTGTTGGTTCAAAATAATTTTCCCTCAGAACTTGGAAAATCGACGTTGTGTGTGCGCGTGTTCGCATAATTAGAGTCAGGGCATGGGACGTGTTTCAGAGAATCCTGTCTCTCCACAGCTTTTGGGCCAGACATGCGTTTTTAATCATATATCCTTGTCTTTGTCCTGTTCCTTGCTAGATGCTGGGGTCTTTTCAGGGCAGGGACTGTCTTTTCCTTTTCAACTTGCATCATAGGGTCTCTTAAGCTCATCTTTACATTTATTCAATGTAATCAATTTGATTTACTTTTAGCCTTTGTGGCTTACTGTAGAAACTAAGTATGGTGGTGGTTGTAGTGGATACGAGATTTCTGTCCCATTATCTAACTTATCCTCGTGAAAAATTCAACATACATAAAAAGCAGTTTTTAAAGAGGTTCTGAAAGAAATGTGGATTATTATAAGGCAAATAATTATTTCAGTCAGTGACTGCCCAGGGTACACACACCTTTATCCCCGCTCTGCTGTGCGTATCAAGTATAAAGGCTTTTTCCTTTCTCACTTCCAACAACACAGCGATGAACTTACAAAGTCAAGTGAAATACCCAAAAAGTGTTCTTTTCCTAACCGGGTGAGGATCTGGGGTGTCTGGCTTTGTAGCTCTTGCTACCTTAACAGGTTATTTTACCAACAGCAAAATTACCGTTCTGGGCAATACACCTACTGCTGGGACAGGCTTCTCAGGCCAACCTGCGCGTGCAGTCACACAGGTGGCTTTTCCCTGTTAGGCAGGTAACGTGGGCAGCCACTGTCCTTGGCCTGCGTCTGTCTTGCTCCGTGTGCTTGTAAACCATTCAGATGCGATGGTGTGGGTCCTCCCTGACAGTCTACTAATGAGGAGATAAAAGGTTGATGTCCTTATTATTGATGTTTGCAGCTGAGGAGTTTTTCATAGCAGTGTCGTGCATAGACCAGCACAGTGAAGGGGGAGTTTGTTCATTTCAAGCTTTGACTCTAACCCCATTTCCCTTCTCTGCTCTTCTTGGGCCTGTCCAGGGTGAGGATCCACGACCTCCGCAGCGGTAACATCGCCCTGTCGCTCTCTGCCCACCAGCTTGGGGTCTCTGCCGTGCAGATGGATGACTGGAAGATCGTCAGCGGAGGCGAGGAAGGCCTGGTGTCCGTGTGGGATTATCGGACGAACCAAAAGCTGTGGGAGGTGTATTCTGGGTAAGGTGCATTCCAGACACTCTTGGGAGTTTCTAGTAGCAACAGGGAAGGCAGCACTAATCAGCCTGCACCAGGAATGGTGCTAAATGCCCCTACCCCCCAGCTTCGCATGTGAATCCTCACTGTGACCCTAGGAGCCAGCTGCTGTACCAGCACCGCTCTGCAGAGGAGGAAACAGGCTTGGAAATGGCGCTGGTCACTGGGGATGCAGTTCCTGTCTCTGACATCATTCAGATCGCCACAATTCGAATATTAGTCAGGCCCAGCTTTCTCTAAGAATGAAACTACTTTTTTGCAAGTGCTATTCTGATTATTTTAGGATTTCTCCATCTTAATAAACAGAAAAGGGAACTCGAAAACATAGGAAACTTGCTGGGCTAGGCCAGGATGTGACACCCCACCTGCCCACAGGTGGAAGGCAGGGCTGGCCCGGCTGCTGTCCTCCACTCGAGTCTGTCACGTGTAACCATGGTACTGCCTGCTGCTTAGACTGTCCTCGTGCCGTTTACATAGAAGAGCACTTAAGACTGAAGGGGTTCATAGAGGCTCCAGTGAAGGAGGAATTTGTCGTTTGCACCTTTAACACCATTATTGGAGATATACACTACCCTCAGCACAGGCTGTTGGCGTCACAGATGTGGGTAGGTTTATGCCATTGGTGCCTAACTGGTTAAGACATTTCCAGTGAGCCTGCTCCTGACCTTCAGAGCAGCAGCCCAGCCTGGGGCAGGCTCGTCAGAGCTGACTTGAGGCCACCGCCACCACCTCTACCTCGCCCTGCAGGCCTTGAACTGGAGACCCTGCCTTTGAGACAGGTGGGGATAAAGGCAGCGGGCCCTCTCCCTCGCTGCCCCTCAGCACCGCTGGGAAGAGACATCCGGCCAGGCCTGCTGGCTCACCTGTAATCCCAGCCACTCAGGACACTGAGGAGCTCTCAAGGCCAGGGGTTTGAGACTGGCCTGGGCAACTCAGGGAGACCCTGCCTCTTTCAAAATCCTCCAGGCATGGTGGCGTGCACCTCTAGTCCCAGTGACTCCGGAGGCTGACGGGGGAGGATTGCTCCATGGAGCCCAGGGGTTTGAGGCTGCAGGGACTGTGCCACTGTACTCCAGCCTGGGTGACAGAATGAAACCTCATCTCTATAAAAACAAGATGATTCTGGGGCAGTGGCCTGTGAGCATGACAACATAGAAGAGCAGAAACAGGGCCAGGCCCTCGCAGTGAACTCAGATTTGTTCCCCACTTACTGCAAATCCAGGTAAACCGGCCTCTGAGAACCTGACCTGAGCAGCGACCTGCTCTTTATGCAAGGCCAGCAGTTTGCCAGGCGTCTCCGAGAGGCGGCAGGCTTACACGCAGAATGGGCCTCTTCCTTGGAGGGCGGTGTTGGCCAACACGGGCTGGCAGATTTTATCACACAGAGCCCTGGGTACTGCCTAGGCCCGCCCCCTCGCTGTGGCTGTCCCTGTCGCCTGGGCCCTTTTTCTGACTTCCATGCTGATGCACTGAATTGCCACCAGGTGGTGCCAAATGGCAACTAAAACTGCACCGAAATTCCCGGAAGCATTTGCCTTTGAGGAAAAGTCAGCATTTGTTTTAAAGCGTTGCTGGATCAGCCATCCAGGTCCTCAGGGATAGCTGCCGGCCCCACACTCTAGCAGGTCTCATTTTTCTCTCTACAAAGCTGTACCCCCGGTACAGGCCACTGAAAGGAAGCCTAGGTAAGGAAGGCCTTCCCCAGAGGTGTGGCCCTGTCCCAGCACTGCCTTTGTCCCTGTGCGACCCGGGCTTGTCCCCCATGCGGTGAAAACAGTTTGTCACCAGCACAAGGCTGACAGACACACGGTCTCCTGCCCAGAACTCACTGACTTACTCAAGGCCTCACCTGCAGTGCCTGCTGCCAGGCCTCAGTCTCTTCAGCCCAGGTCCTCGCCTGCCTGACAGGGTGCCGTCAGTCTGCCATGCTGCAGGCCTCCACCAAGCCTGCCCTCCCTCTGCGGGTCTTTCTCATCCTCCAGGCCCCATTCAAATCCACCACCACGTTCCTGCTGTGGGTGTCCCAACCCCGGGGAGGTAGGGACTGCTCCCTCGCTTCCCTCACTCCCAGAACCCTCTGCTTTAGTCAAGGAGAGCAGCCCCAGCCATCCTGGGAGCAGCCCTGGCCCAGCCCACACAGGCCTCGTCCCCTCCTGTGCACCCCTCCCAACAGACCCTTTCAGCCCTCCTCCCCTTCTGCTCCTCCTCCCGGCACTGAATTCTGCATCACGCAGTCTTTGTAGCTTGTAAATTCGCTCGTGCCACAGAAGCATTAGTCATGTTTTCTGGGACTGCATCTTACCTTCTTCACTAGCTAGGGCCCTCCCTGGGTCCGGCATCCACCTGGATGAGACATCTTTTTAATTCAGCGTCTCCTAGCTCAGTGCCGTGACCACAGCAGGTACTGCACAAAAGTTTCAGAAAAAACGCAAACCTCTGTTCAACAGACTTGGAGCCATTTTGTTCCCAGATTTCCCAAACGTGCTTTCACCACCCAGGGGACGTGTGTCACTGCAGCCCTGTGAGCCGGATCGGGGGCGCCTTCCTGGATCAGCAGTGAACGTGCCCCCAGTGCTCATAGATGATGGACAGCCTGGCTGGGAGAGCTCAAGGGACTTGCCCAGGGAGGCAGCGGTGGACCAGTCTCTGTTGCACGTGGTTGATTCCCCAGTAGGGAGTGTCCTTTATGTCTGGAATGTGCCAGGTGGTTGGGGCAGATGCCAGCATGCGTACGGGGCATGCAGACCTGTTTACAAAGTCATGCCCAAAGCACGGCCTGCTCACCTGAACTTGGGAGCTGGGGTGAGACTCTGCTTCCGTGGGGGCCTGTTCCCCCTGAAAGAGAAGCTTCGCTTTATGGGTTCTAGAATCCCCTGCAGCTTTGAACTCCCAGGTCTGTGGCAGCAAGTGCAGGCTGTGTGCAGGCCCAGTGGATGCCCCCTTACGAGCTCTCTCCCGCTGCCTTCCAGACACCCCGTGCAGCACATCTCATTCAGCAGCCACAGCCTCATCACGGCCAACGTGCCCTACCAGACGGTGATGCGAAACGTCGACCTGGACAGCTTCACTACTCACAGGAGGTTAGTGGTGGGGCTGGGCGAGTCAGAGACCATCTTAGTTTGATTGATGTATAGAACCCCCGCCCCCATGACACATTGCACCCTATGAGCTATACCCTCAGGCAGGGCCCTGCCTTTCTAGGAATTGGGAACGTAAACATCGATGCTGACCTGTACTGAGCGCCTAGCATCTGATGCACGACAGCCCCGTGGGGCGAGTCCACGCTGCCGGCTGTGCAGAGAAGGAGGGCAGGCCGTATGCTGAGGGGTCTGCTGTGGTTAGAATCCTGTCACAGGGGCAAGGCCCATCCTCTTGAGTCCTTGCCCTGTGACACTCACTGCACCCATCCGACTTGTGCACCCCCATGTTGACCGCTAAGCCTGGGACTGTGAGTATCTGATGCTGTGTGCCCGGAGGACACCTTTGTGAAGATGAACCTCTGTCTGGTCTCAGGAGAATGCCTCCTGCAAAGACAGAAGCAGCCGGGGTGAAGGCCAGCGAGGCTGCCCTGACCTGTCACCATCTTTGTGCTCTTTCTAGACACCGGGGGCTGATCCGTGCCTACGAGTTTGCAGTGGACCAGCTGGCCTTCCAGAGCCCTCTCCCTGTCTGCCGTTCATCCTGTGACGCCATGGCCACTCACTACTATGACCTCGCACTGGCCTTTCCCTATAACCACGTTTAGGGATGTGCCTCAGGAGCAAGGAGAAAAATGGGAAGAACCAGTTTTATCCACATTAAAACTCCAGGCGGCTCTGCACGGGTGGTAAATGTTTAGGGGAAGAAGGCGGCCCAGGGTGCTGTGCCTGACGGCATGTGTCTCCCTGACCCCTGCACTTCCCCGGCGCCTGGGGCAACCTGGTGTATGCTGGGGCTCAAGTCGCACATGCTGCCAACACAAACGTAGCCTCCTTCCCCACCCAGCCGGCCACTCTGGCCTCAGCTCCCTCAGGACACCTCAGGGATCTCGCTGTGGGGTCCCATATGGTCCCTGCTCAACCAGCTTCTCTGTGTTTGCCTTCCCAGCTCCAGCCCTGCAGGCCGTCTTTCCAGTCTCCAGTCCCTTCCCTCTTTTCCTCCGAGGGCCTTTGGATGTGCTTGTCCCTGGCCTCCAAGGCAATAACCTCCATGTCCTTTTCCCTGTATTTACTTAGGGTGCTCTTCTGTGACACTTGCCACCACCACCTTCCAGTAGCAAGCTGGTAGAGCAGTACTTTTTCTTCACAGCTTTTACCATGGTTTATAATTATATACTTACACAGTTTAGTCATTAATGACTACTTTGCTTACTGTTGTGTCTATGATGTGTGTTACAAAGCAAATATTTTCTAAATATTCATTGACTAAACAGCCATCAAGATGAACAGGACAGGAGAGAACTGTTCAGTGTGATACAGAGCTGCCATTTCCAAAGTATTCTGGAAGCAAGCCATTGCCTTACTCTTGATTTTCAACAGTTCTAAACGCAACAGCATCCACCTAATATACCTTCAGAATATCAAAGCAAAAACTGATAGAACTACAAAGAGCAATAAAATCCATTCTCATAGCAGGCAAATCAGTGAGAAAAACGTAAAGATCTGGAAGATTTACTTAATATCGCTAACAAGCTGGATCCAATAGATATGTATAGAATTTCAGATACACATAGAACATGACAAAAAACCACCCTGTACGAAGGCCACAAAGAACAGCTCAGATACGCAAAGATTCGCACCGTACAGGCCAAATTATAGAACCCCTCCAAGCCCCGAGACACTGCACCCTGTGGGCCGCACCCTCAGACACTGCACCCTGTGGGCCGCACCCTCAGACACTGCACCCTGTGGGCCGCACCCTCAGGCACTGCACCCTGTGGGCCGCACCCTCGGGCACTGCACCCCTGTGGGCCGCACCCTCGGGCACTGCACCCTGTGGGCCGCACCCTCGGGCACTGCACCCTGTGGGCCGTACCCTCGGGCACTGCACCCTGCTTTTCTAGGAATTGACCCCCGTGCAGAATAGTGAGAAATCAACAAAAAGCAAAATAAGACAATTCCAGACACTCCCGAATTCACTTGGATTTAAAGAAGTTAATAAAAACAAACTATAAACTCTCTAGACTGGGTTGACAGTAAAAGCACTGAATACAAAACCCAGGGGATGAGGCTGGGAGGGGCTGGCACCTCAGCTCAGAAAAGGTAGCCGCAATCACAAAGCAAGCAGAAGGCAGGGGTTACATCAGGATAAAATCAGACATTAATGGAATAGAAAACCAATAGTTATTATAAAGTCAAAAGCAGGGGTTTTTTGTTTTTTGTTTTTTTTAGGTGGAGTCTCGCTCTGTCACCTAGGCTGGAGAGCAATGGCCTGATCTCGGCTCACTGCAACCTCTGCCTCCTGGGTTCAAGTGATTCTCCTGCCATCACACCTGGCTAATTTGTGTATTTTTAGTAGAGACAGGGTTTTGCCATGTTGGCCAGGCTGGTCTCAAACTTCTGACCTCAAATAATCCGCCTGCCTCAGCCTCCCAAAGTGCTGGGATTACAGGTGTGAGTCACTGCACCCGGCTCAAAAGCAGTTTTTGACAAAAAAATAAAAAGACAAAATATACAACTCTTGATAAAACAGAAAGGTACAAGGAGCCATGAGGAAGCGAAAAGGTACCTGAGGATGCGGAAGTACCTGCCACGTGGGAACCGTCTATCCACACTCGTTCCAGAGAAAACCCGAGCCCTCTCAGTTGCACATGCGTATATATCAGCGGGAAATGCTGGCCATGACTCCAAAGCCTGGAACCTTCACGTCTTGAAGGTTCTGGAAGGTTTTTCAGATTGCTTAAGGTATGCAGCTACTCCACATTCATCTCCAACTACACAGGGGAACGGAGCAGACAGAGCTGCGGCTGGGAAGCGTGGCCTCCCGTCCGGAGTGCTTTCCTTCCGACCCGCCTTCCTGCGGCAGATGGACCGGAGGGTGTCCTGCTTCCTTTCAGCCAGCTGGCTTCCTAAGTGGAGACGGCCTGTAGGCAGCAAATGCAGGGTTTTGTTTACCTTCGTTGTCGTCATGGGGTGGTCAGACTGTTTGCTGGTGACCTGACTTTAGAAGGTTCTCATCAAGCCCCGTCCTTTCTCTCTCATAGTCTTAATGCATCTGGACCATGGGGGAAAATATTTTTCTTTTCAAAAAGCAGCCCCTTCTAAGTCTGCATTCCCAGTTCATTTTGCGGGGGCATTCTCCCTTCCTAGTTTGCAGCAATTAAAGGTAACTGAGTGTAAAGTCATTAGACCCAGAATTACAGCAGCCAGCAGCTGGTCCAGTATAAAAATCTCACAAGTGTAGACCCTCCCACCGCAAAGCCTGTTTGTAACATACCTGCCACTCATGAAAGTTGCCTGGGTTTTGTAAAGGAAAATTTATTGGATCCAAGCTGTTACCTTCAAGCACACCAACTTCAGGCAGCGTTTTCTGCTGCAAACCTGAACACCCTGGAATCAATCACACTGACAGGGGAAGGAGAAATGCTCCTTTGTAAGCCAACATTTATCCAAATTAAGCCCCCTTACCTTTACCCAGACCCCTTCACAAGTTCTGAGGTTTCAGCCGATTGGTCCTCTACTTTCCTCCCGAGTCCCTTCCAGAGATGCCTCCATCCCCGGCTCCCCACAGGTGGAGACACTCAAGCATGCTGCCGGGGGAGCTGGACGGTGAAACGCGGAAGATCTCATGTCGCGTCTCAAAACATGGTCGGACTTGCTTTCTGCTTTATGATGTCCGTAGTTGTTCTAATATTAAATGCTTTGAATTTATTTATTGGTCAAGTTATTTTAACTTGGGCAAGGCATACAGTGATAATCCCCTGGTATGCCACGGTTCCAGCTCTCTTTCCACCCCCTTGAAATCTTACCTCCCACCATGGTTTTGTTTTGTAAACCCACAGTCACGTGCATTTTCCCAGAACCTCCACTACAGGGGCTCCCAGCCCAGGATCCAGGAGACCTGCAACATGGTACAGTAACTCATCACCAACCGTCATCAATAGGTATTCTTAGAACTGCAACTGTAAGCAAAATGAGATATAATGAAACTAATTTTGGCCGGGCAAGGTGGCTCAGGCCTGTAATCTCTGTACTTAGGGAGGCCGAGGCAGGCGGATCACCTGAGATCAGGAGTTCAAGACCAGCCTGGCCAACATGGCGAAACCCCATCTCTACTAAAAACACAAAAATTAGCCAGGCCTGGTGGTGCATGCCTGTAATCACAACTACTCGGGAGGCTGAGGCAGGAGAATCGCTTGCAGCCGAGAAGCAGAGGTTGCAGTGAGTGGAGATCACACCACTGCACTCCAGCCTGGGCAATAGAGCGAGACTTTGTCTCAAAAAAAGAACTTGCAACTTTAAGCAAAATGATGTATAATGAAACTAATTTTACTATAGGCTAATGGATGTAAACAAGAGTTAAGTTCCCACGGCATATTGCTGGCCATAAAAACATCACCAACCTTTAGAACTTGAAACCAAACACTTCTAATATTAAACATTCAGTAGACATGAGTTATACATACATTTAAGAAAAATTACTGAAAACAAGGTAATTACCCAATTTTTGGTGACTTCAGTGGGTGTTGGCAGTTGTAGCGATGGTGGGTCATATCACAAAATAAATGTTTGCAAAGCAAAAATTGTCAGGAGCGCCTCCTTCCACCACACAGGTCAAACAGCAGGCTGGGCTCACTGGGCACTCGTGCACAGCGTCACTTACTATTGTGCATGTGTATGGTTAGGGGAGGCAGTTTTTTTTTTTACAATAATTTTTATTCATTCCTTCTTTCATTTTCCAACTGTTATTCCAGTTCAAGGTGGTGGGCGACCAGAGCCTATCCCAGCAGCTCAGTGTGCAAGGCAGGGACCCACCCTGGACAGGACACCCTCCCATCACAGGGCACGCTCACCTCACACACACACTCAGACTGCGACCAGACACCAACAAACCTCACCTGCACATCTTTGGGGCGTGGGAGGAAACGAGTGCCCAGAAAACTCACAGACCGAGAGGACGTCCAGACTGTACACAGACAGTGGCCCCAGCCGGGAATCAATTTTTTCCTCAATGTTATAACAAAATGACATTGAATAAAATGATGCTATTCAAGGACCCGCTGTGTGTGAAATGGTGCATGAGGGCATTTTCTGGGAAAAAAACGTGGTTACCTCTCATCAGATTCTTGAAGGGACTGCAGCCCCCCCGCCCCCGAGAATTCGTCTCTGCCACTAGAGTGTGTTTTGCAACCCAAGCCATGTGCCGCCGTGGTGCTGCTGTTGCCCAGGCAATAATTGATGTCTCAGAGATACTCCATGAACGGCAGCACCTTCTACAAAGCACAGCTCCCCGCCCTGTCTGAAGGCCAGGCTTTCAGCTGATCGGAGGGAAACGGAATTTCCCCAAGAAAAGGGCTTGGTCCTTCCTGAAAGGGAAGGCTGACACCCCCAAGATGAAGTCCTTCACCCCCATCCCCCCTCTTGAGAGCTAAAGGCCCCACGTTCCAGGGGCTAGCGCTTCCCACCACACGTGTTAGATGGCAGATGCTGGCCACTGCAAACCCACTTTGCTTACAGTTGCAGAGAAACGGCTTACCCCGGTGAGGGTCCAGCCTTCTCATGCAACTGTCCCGCGGCTGCTATTCCGGGCAGGCCACCACAGGGGCTCCAAGAGGGCTGTCTCCCGCTGCCTGACGGAGCCTTCGCTCTGAGCAGCAGCTGCAGCAGCACTGAGCTCACGACGCTGGCCGGCCGGGCCGAGGTGCTGTGAGCCACACAGGCCTGCCCGCGACACCCACACAGCCAGGCCAGATGGTTACCTGGCTACCGCTGCAGGGGCCTGCGGCGACTTGGACAAGGGCTGCCTCTAATGTGCGATGGCAGATTCCCTCTTGCTGGGCTCCGGCGGGTGCCATGTTGTTCCCAGCCCACTTTGGGCCTCTGATGCCCAGCATGGGCTTCCAGAAGCAGCCGTTTGACTGCTCTGCACTGGGGGCCGTTTCGTTCCCTAGGAAGGGAAGGGGACGCCCCCCCAGCTGAGCTGTCACGCCCTGTCTTTTCTTCCCTTGCCCAACACTAGGACAAACGCTGCCTTGTCATTTCTCTAAGATAGACATGGCGGCTAGCTCCTCAGCAGGCCCCCTGACTACTGCCACCCCGTCAGAGCCACTCTCGGGGCGCCAGCCCTTCCTCTGTGAGATGGAGCCCAGTCCCTTGCTGACTTGGTCAACAAGCAGATTAGAGGGCTGAGCAG